CATTACTATCACATACTTTTGGTGAGTCTGACCATTTGGATGTTCGACTCTGATCCTCGCCAATCCCCTGCCCCCCCCCCCCCCCCATCCTCCTTACCTCTGCAGGGCCACAGATCAGCTGTCGCATTTTCATTGTCACGGAATGCACATACACACACGCTGGTATGCACTCACATTGTGATTAATGCTTTCGTCATCACTGTGAGTTTTTTGTATTGAAGAAAACACACATAGGAAAGCGCTATCACACAGCAGAATGGAATTCATGATTAATGTTCTAATTCTGTGGCTTATTTGGAGTCCTTTTGGGCACGATGACACAAAGAATTATCATTTATGCAATGCAAGGTTTTTTATTTATTTGTGCTGCAAGTATAAGATTTCTCTTGCATCCAGGTGTTCCTGGATACTTGCATCAGCAAAAATTTCCAGCAAACACTGCACCTCTGCCATAGACTGAAATGATCCCTTGCCGCCATGTTTGTTACATTCTTGTCACAACCCGAACTGAGCGTAATTTTTTTTCACAACACAGTTTTGTCATGTCCGGGCCAGGTGTGGAAGTCATGTGATTTTTGGCCCCACAGTGAAGATCATGTGACTTCTGCTAGATATCAACTGATATGATATTCACTGGAGTGCTAAAGGAGGAACTGAGGGCGCAGTTCAGCATGAAATGGTTAACAGGGGGCCACAGGGAGAGCAGGTATCTCATTTTACATTTCATGGTTGCAGTGATATAATGGGAAAGCTTGCCATTGTCTCATATTTGTCAGCAAATACATCTTGCACATATTGTTTATTCATCCTTGTAGCTGTTATGTTTTATAGACATGTCTTGATAAAAACTACAAATAAATCAAGAAGGCTGTATGAGAAGTGGAGCCATTGTCATTGTCAGCTCAATGTAGTAATAGTTGTCTTTGTAATTTCCAAGTTCCAAATCAGAAATTTCAACTGGAACACCCCCGTCAGGATTCCAGCTCAGAAAGTCAGAGGATCCTCTGAAGTCCCCACCTTAGAATTAAAGATGGCTGCGCCATTTATAAAGAGAAGTGAAAGCTGTAGTTTTATGCAGTTTATTAGCACTTACGTCTAATTTGCTCATTAAATCGGTCGTCCACACAGTGTCCAACCGATATCTGTGGACATCGCTTCAGTGTTTTTATGCGCAAAATACCACGTAATGTGTGGTTATCAACTGTTATTGCTAAGAATGGTTGACAGTTAATTGGGCTAGAACTGGGGCCTGTTTCCGAAAGCGGGGTTTCTTACTTAGCCGGACAACTTGTCGGATTTAAGAAAAATGGTGTCATCCTTTGGGTAAGACTTAAAACTAAGGGCCTGACTCAGTGAGGTTCTAAAACACGGGTGTCAGACTCCAGTTCTGGAGGGCCAGAGCCCTGCACATTTTTGGGTTTCCCCTCGTTTAACATGATTCGACTTCTTATGCTAATTACCACATAGATGTCGAGCTGAATCATTTTTATGGTGGAACAGGGAAAGAACTAAGCTACACAGGGCTGCGGCCCTCCAGGACTGCAGTTTGACACCCCTGGTCTAAAAGATCCCTGACCATCTTTTGAAAGATTAGGGGCTGTATGCTAATCTACTGGCTAAAATTGCCCACTGTGGCCCTATCAAATCTATCCTCATAATCATCCTCTGTATCTAACTGGTGAATTCTCTCCTGCCCCTTCACCACTTGTCTGGTGAGCATACTGGTGCAGAACGGCTGCCGTCACATCATCCAGGTGAGTGCTACTGTCACCCCATGCATTCCTGCCCCCTCGTACTGCCCCCTGCTACTAATTTGTCTTCCCTCTCATTTCAGCCCTTGTGTGACTTACCCCAGCTGCCTCCCGTCTGCTCCCTTGTCAGTGGTGTATAATGTGCCTCCCAGTCCTGTGCTCCCCAGTCCAGTCATTGATGTTGCTACCTGCTTGTCTCCTGTGCCGTCTCATCTTGCCCACTCCTTGCCTCCCCATTTTGACCCCTCGTGGCCCTTTTGAGTTTGCCCCATTTGTGTTCTGATTTATCCCAATAAAGCCCCTGTTGACTGTCCCCACGCTTGCCGTCACCTCTGTCCATGGCTCGATGTGACAGCTATACAGTGCTAGTGGTTGAAGAGGCTCCCCATTGCTTCTGCTTATGGACTGTGATTCTGATAGAGCCCGAAAGGCAAAAGCGCTCCCCGTCACGCTTAATAATGGGAAGTGCGGAGGCAAACCAGTGCGAAATCGCTGCCAGGCGCTCCTTTTAAATGGATCTCGCCTCTCTCATACACCTCATTGGCAAAGGAGCGACATTAAACTTTGACGGGAATCGTTTTTTTTAAAGTGAAATAAATTGAAACAGCCGGGGGTCAGGAAGGAGCTACTGCCGATCGCCGTCCCAGAGCTGCTGGACGTGCCGCACGGGAATATTCGGGCTCCGTCTGCTGACACGGGGCGCTCTGTCGGGGGTTTATACCCGGCAGGGTATGGGTTTGTACTGCCTGAGGAAAGCTGTCATACTTCAGTACATCCTGCGTAGTATCAACACACGTCATGGGCATTAATAAAATTTACATCTTTAGATTCAGAGCAAAATGTCAGCCTGTGTTGGTGATACATGGAGTAACGGTGAATCATGCTATTTCACCATAATCCACCCGGCTGATTAAACCTTAGAGGCCTGTGTACACACAAAGACAACAGACACAAGTTCATTTAAAACTAAGTACATTTTACTGAAAAAAACTATTTTAAAAACAGTTTACACTGCTCAGTATTGTACCAATATTGTAGTTCTTAACATACAGTACTGAAGATTCTATAAGTACAGAAAACATTGCTTCCAAATTTAACCCCCTCTATTCAAATGCTACGTACTAATCAGGTTTACTACCCATATTAATCGTCGCCAGGAAATATATAATATTTAATATCAATGTTACTATTAGTTATATTCATTTTATTTTAACTATAATAATTGTCATCAGAAATAAAACACTGCTCAACCTACTGAATGATCTAATGACCTCAGATAGCATGAAGGTTTCGATTTTCCACTACCCAAGGTGACCTAAGTTATGGAAATTCTCACTAAACGTGTGGTACCTCGGTACATCCTGACGTAGCAGATCGACCCCTTCATAATTCAGAGGGACTCCTCATACTGGGAGCCTTAATCATAAACTGGAAGTCTGGTGTGACCACCTAAGACTACAACAAAGCTTTGTGTAAATACTCCTTGGAAACTCAGCTTTTAGCTGCAGAGTATAAAGATAAAAGTTGTGTCATCCAGAGCGAGGTTTGGACTAAGGAAACATCCAAATTTTTATTTGCTTGTTTTTGGTCCATCGGCTACTGTGCGTCCAGGTAACCGTTGGAGGAAGACTTCATTCTGGGGGAGAGCTTCTCCTGGGCCAGCCTCCGTCTCCTGAGCGCTGTGACCGTGCTCAGACCCCTTTCCCAAAGGAGTCCCTGCTCTCTGGTCCCATTCTTCGCTGGATCCATGATTTCTAGTCTCTGCCAGTGTCTCCTCGACTGGCCTTTTGCTGCTAACTGGGTGGGCCAGTTTCCACTATCAAAGAATCCAGAACAAACCAATAAACCAGCGCGTTAAAGTGAGCCCAGGCTCCGGTTATGCTGGGTCATCCCCCGTAAGTCTCCGTCTATAAGACTCCTCCACACCAGCCGTGTCTCTAGGTCTCTCACGTATCAGCCTGTCATGTTTGTCTGTTTTTTAAGTTTTACTCCAAAGCAAACATTTTAGCAAAAGTCCTCAGTTTATGTTTTCCAATTATTCGCCTGGCCAAAAGAAAAACACTTGAAGAAGTCTGAGTCAAAGTGAGTAAAAATGACCTGGAAGGAGAGGATCTTCTGGACAATAAAAAGCATGAACGTTGACTCGTATCGGCGTAGATGGCTGTGTGGCCAAAGCAGGCCCTAAAACCTCCAAGCGGCGTGTTCCAGCTCCTCATCCCGCCGCTCGTCCACAATCCCGAGTCAAAGTCACTAGTGTTAAAAAATCCTGATGTGGTACCAGGCACCGAATCAAGAAACGCAAAGAAGGCAGAGTGTGCTCTTAACAGTACAGCTAACATCCGCACGGGTATTGCTACCAAGAGAGTTCAAAAAGCATCAGGAAATACTGTGTGGCCCCGTCACCAAGGCCTGGAGTGCAGATACTGAGATAGAGAGCGTGATTCATGGCTTTGCCGTTTGCCTCCATCCCATCTGCCCTACCTCACCCTCACAGGCACGCACGCCGGGGCACCCGGTCCCATACTGGTACGTCCAGCCCGTTAAATCATTCACTCGTGGCTGGTCGGGATCCAGTGGGGACAGCAGGACTGGACGGCATACCGGCCAAAAAAAGCAGCAAAGGTCCTGAGGCCGTAGAGACAGCAGCTCCAGTGACAGTGTGGCTCAGCTTGATATGGGGAGATGGGGGGGAGATGGGGGGGGGGGGCTGGGATGCACTTCCAAATCTCTGCCTGCTTCCCCAAAATACGACTATGGGTGAGATCTGTAAAAAGATGCATTAGAGCCCCAGAGCTCACTGCTGTTGACAGAAGATGAAAGCGTGTTTGACGTGCCCTCAGCCCCCGGCAGCCTGGACACGGTACCCCCCCCACCAGCGCCTTCACGAAGCCCCCCATCTGTCCAGCTGGCTCACGGCTTGCAGCCACAGACGGACACCCTAAACTGCATTTATCGTACCCGCCGTACCCACCATTGGCTGTGGATTAGCGGACTTACACTGAGGCTCTGTTTCAAAGTGAAACCTTAACATTAACTTTACTGTGTCTACTTACACGGGACAGGGCACAAACACATTGACATTTTTCATACTAGTTTCTTAAAAATTGATGCTTTCGAGGTGACAAGGCTGCCTTTTCTAAACTATGCTATAAACTACTTCCAACTTATTCTAACCTAAGTGTCAGGCAGCCTCTTTGCATGCACATCTGAATATGAACCTAAAGTGAACAGTCAGACACCCCCCCCCCCACACACACACACACAGAGTCAAAAGCTGAAGGCAATCAGAGCTCCAATCGCAATGAGCTGAGCCACATCCAGGAGATCCCTGCATGATGACCCCTCACCAGCCCTCATTGTTCATATTAATCCTGTTTTCTGTAGATCTGAATCATTCTGTTATGTAAAATTGCTAATTAGTTTACTGAACTTAAAGCAACGCCTCGTCGTCTTGCGTAAATGCTTACGTAGCACAGGGCTGCACTGAGCGTGGGATCAATCCCACAATGCACAGGGAACACCCTGGATGTCAGGCCAGTCCATCACTAGGTAGACATATTTACATGCTATGGGCAATCTAGAATTACCAGTTGGGCTAACTGCATGTTTTTGAACTGTGGAAGGAAACGGTATAGTACCTGAAGAACATGCCAAGTTCCCGAACATTCCGAGGCAAAGCTGTGAGGCTACAGTATGTTAGCCAGCAGACAAGCCCCTTTTTAAATCTTAATTGGTGACTTTTTGGGCAGCAAAGTTTAAGTCGAAGTTGGAGTTCAGTCGAAGTGACGATCGCCACAGCGCTATGATGCTATGGGCTAATGGGTCACCGGGTGCTTAATACTGGGGCCTGTGGCATGCAGACAGCTATGAGTCAGTGTGAGAAAGCAGGCTTGGTGATAAGGGCAAAGGAAACCTGATATTCACCCAGTACAGTCTGAGACACTGAAGCAAAAAAACAACCAGGGAACAAGAGGCTTCACAGCCTAGGAGCAAACTAGCAGACAGAGAACATCGTCCATAAGTTCACCAATCGTGGGTTTTGAAGCCTCATCCAACCCAAACACTCCCTCAGCCATTTGGAAAGATTAGGTTAGACGCAGATTAATAACACTACGGAGCTCTGAGGACCAAGCTTAAGGCGACTCTGTATTTATTTTTTCCAACTCTACCAATTGTCCCCTGTTAGGAATTCTGACCCAAAACTGGCATAAAACACATGCATGACAAAATGACTATATAGCTATCACTACAACGCCACCCCCGTAACCCTGGGGGTGCTTCTGCTACTGCCACATTCTCTAAAGGACATGACGTGAATCACCCATTAGTAAGAATGGGTTTGGCTAATATGCAGAAAAATAATGGAAAATCATCAAGACACATCAGGCCCCAGTCAAAGCACTGGGAAGCATGTTTAAATCCTACTGGAAATCTGCTCAAACTGCAATCAGAGTGCTGAGAAACCAGGAAATGCATATATGTACACACACACACAGACACACACACACGCACACCAAAACAACTCCTCTAGGCCTGACTCCCCTAGGCCGGACTCTCAGATTGGCTTGGTTGCTCTGCATCTCGAACCCGGAGCTCACATTGGGCACGATCAAGAAAAGGTTTGGTCAACCTGAGATTTTCAAAGGAGTCTGTGACTAATACCGTTACAGTAAGACTATAAAACCAAACAGCTTAAATACAGAATAGTCATATAACTATTGATATACTGTATGTTTTTAAGGTATGTATACATTTCAGTGGTCTTCCTCCTTGAAAAAGTCCATACAAATAATCGGCCTAAAGACTGCAGTCTTTGCCGTCTCTTTGAGGAAGAATCAAGCGTATGCGGAGAGCGATGCTCCTAGACTGTTGTCCGTTTCCAACCCAGCGGACTTGCTTTCCTGCTGCCTGGCTCTCCTGGGGTCTCCACCCCCGAAATGTTGCCGAGGCACCTCCAGGGCCCATTTCCACACCTCCCGCCTCACATTGAGCGAGGCTGTGGCTTCATTGGCCGAGAGTTCTAAAAGGGGGAGGGGCTAGCTAATGGGCACTCCCCTTCTCGCCTCTTATCCCCCCCAGCTTCGTCGTTGCCGGGGGCTCTGTTTCACGGCGTCCCGGCTAAGTGGGACGGTTTTAAAGTGGGACCAATAAGTGCTGGACGAGTGGGTCACATGAGGTCATCATAATCTAGCAGCTTGGAGTGCTGGCGGGCTTTCCATAGGCGGAAGAGGCGGAAGTCGAAGTAAGTCTCAATCATCTCCTTGCCTGGGGAGACAGCAATGGGGAGGGGTCAGATCAGATCACATAAAGCCCACTAATGTCATTGATCCTGTCCCACAAGATCTGCGCCCCCCCAAGGTTACATTTTACTTCCAAACTGTCCAGTAACTTTTTCCGTATCTTCTCTCTGACGTTTGTTGACGTGGTGGCAGTGAGCGTGATCTCTGGAGCAGTAGCAGCATGCTTATAAGGTCCATGACACGGCAGAGTGCTGTGTTTGTGATCATAAGGTCATTGGTTCAAATCCTAGTGTCAGCAAAGTGGTTTCACCGTGGGCCCTAAGCAAGCCCCTTAACCCCCGGTTGCTCCATTGATGTTTGACCCTGCTTTCTCAAAAATTCATGTCACTTTGGAGAAAAGCATCTGCTCAATAAATAAAATGCAAAGCAGTTGCTAGACTACATGAGATGTGGGTCATTCCCTTAAAGTTTCCAGCTAATATGGTTTCCCCTTTTTTACCACAGTAACACTAGAGCGGTGTTTATTTTACCACAGTAACACTGCCAAGGTGTTGTTTGCATCATTATATTATGTAAATGCTGGAGTAAATGTTGGCATGTTTTAGGAATCTGTTTGCGACTAAAGCAGGGCGTCTGTGTTCTCTGTTCAAATCCCTGACAGTAAATAAAGTTCCTGTTTCCCCTTGCTTTAAATAAAAGTTATACTTGGGAGACAAAGTAAGATTGTGCTTCCATCTTTACTGTGGCCTGACAAACGCTAGACTGTCCTTGTTGGCAGTAAAAACTGTGTGATATAATTAGGAAGAAGAGTTCTTCCCTGTAACTTTTATTGCTAATGCACTGGTCTATGCCTCCATAATTAACGCAAAGAATCTGTAAGTAGAACATTTCAGCAATAATGTAGCCAATAGTTCTCCAACTTAGCCATGTTCATGTGGGTAAGTTGTCTGTGTGCCTGAGGTGAACGTCTCTCGATCTTTGTGCATCCATGTCTACCATTAAAACATGCTTTTGGGAGGGCCCCTGTACTTTGGGGGCCCTCTGCTGGCCACATACAATAAGTACACTGAATCTTAAATTAGCTGCTAACCAGCTAGCTAGCTACAATCTGACTCTACTAGCAAGCTACCTTTACGTTATATGCAACCATGAAGCAATGATGTTGGAGGAGCACCACAAAAAGCAAGAAAATGAGAGACATGAAGTCGTTGTTTCTTCACAAAAAACAATGAAATGACTGATGAAATGAAATGAATGACAGCAAACTTTATGAACACAGACAGGGGGGCAGAAATGACAACCCCTCCCCATCTGTGTGTGCGTGCGTGTGTGTGTGAGCGACACAATGTCCCCATAACGTGATACAGTAAGTATCCATTTTTTTTATAAAACTCTATTTTATAAAAATCGGTGACTGCTATGAAAAAACTAAAAATGCAAAAACTCTTGTATTTTGTTAGGTTACTTATGGTTATGGTTAGGGCAGGGTAGGGGTTAAGGTTGTCATCGTTAGCGTTAGCATTTTTCCCATTGAAATGAATGAGCGGTCCCCATAAGGATATGTTTACCCTACATGTGCGTGTGTGTGTGCGTGTGTGTGTGCATGCATGTAAATGGTAAATGGACTGCATTTATATAGCGCTTTTTACCAAAGCGCTTTACAATGTACGCCTCACATTCACCCATCCACACACACATTCACACACCGGTGGTGGAGGCTCTGCCATGCAAGGCGCCAACCAGCTCACCGGGAGCAATTTGGGGTTCAGTATCTTGCTCAAGGGCACTTTGATGGGGTCAGGAGGACCCGGGGCTCAAACCTGCAACCCTCCGGTTGCCGAACGGTAGCACTACCTCCTGCACCACCATCGCCCCCATGTGTGTGTGCGTGTGCGTGCGTGCGTGTATGCGTGTGTGTGTGTGTGTGTGTGTGCCCGCTGCTCACCCTGCGCTGACAGCTCCAGCGGGGATTTAAACTCCACAGAATATGGCTTCATCAGATTCTTCAGGTTCTGGAAAAGCTGTAAGTAGACAGTGAGACAGTCCAGTTGAGCTTTGGTGCTGAGCTCTGTATGCTGACGTCGGCCCCACTGACAGGCTGAGCTTTCAGCATAAGCGTGAGGGGGCCGTGCATGTGCTGTGAGTATGGAGGCCTGGGCTCTGCCGCTGGGGGCAGCTCGGAACTCAGAAACACAGGAGAGAGTTCTGATTGGATCTGGATGGGCCTCAGCACTGACCAGGCAGCTGGCCCGCGGTACCTTCTCTCCGTTGGCGTTGCCCAGGACGTAGCAGCCCATGACGTGGATCAGGTTCGGTTCCGGGTTCAGTTTGCTCATCATGCGGCTGAGGCGCCTCCAGAAGCTGCAGGCGGACAGGCGGCGTGCGTTACAGCGGCACGGAGTGCTGGGCAAGCATGCAATTTGCCAGGGGTGGCCTGCAGAGGGCGCACTCACTTAATCATGTCCTCCTCTTTTACCACCTTCGCGAACGTGGCGACCTTGTTCTTCAGCAGGTACAGATGCCCGGGCCCCCCCTAGGCAACATCACAATACAATTTATTTGTATATAGTGCCTTTCACAAGACAGTTGCCCCAAGAGCAACTTAAGAAGAGTATATAGTGATCCTCACGAACCTACAGATGGTCCACATTTTTTGCTACCCGCAAGCTCCCAAGGAGCAAAAACGGGTAACTGTCAGCGGGTCCCCGAGGAGTGGACTGGGAAACATGCATTATTAGTACATGGAAGCAGGAAAACCAGAAAAAGCCAGAAGACAATGGAAGAGAGGAACCAAAATGGCACGCTCCTGTCTCCACAGTCAGGAGGGAAAAAACTCTGACATTACTGAAAGCATCTCAGTGTATTACGACATTCGCCTGCCCCTGCAGCGAATCACGACTCCCACCTCGAAGCTGAGATGATTTTGTCATGGTAATACCCAGCAAAGGAATCAGCGGGAAGTTACCCGGCTGCACCCAAAACATGTTTCCAATTTATCCACCGACACAATGAAATAAATAAATGCACTGATATGTGTATAAAATAGTGTTTTAAAACTCGAAACTGCACATTTCCCTGTGGAAATGCCCCTGTTAATGGATTGATGGAATTCAGGCTCTTTATTGTACAAACACACCAGAAATGTTTGTATTTTGTAAGACAAAACTTACAAGACATACAGGACAAGAACTTCACAGAACAAAAATAGGAAAAATAGGAAAACACGTGAGAATTCAGAAGACAGTACCTCTTTATTAATGTTAAAACCAAGCTAACAGAGGCATGAAATAATCTGTAACTTGTGGTATAAATGTAATACCTTCCACTAATTACATAGCTGCTTACTAAACTGCCTATGTGACACATGTAAGCACACTAGTGAGCACACTGAGAGTGAACGCCTCACACCACTGAGTGGAGTGCTTTGCTTCTTAATCCAGGGAGATCACACTCACACACTTTTGCTGAAGTACAGCTGCGTGCCATTTACTGCAGAACAGGTCCTATAGCCCTCGGCCTCCCCCCCCCACATTGGGCAGATTCCCGCGCCCATCCCCCGCCATCTCTGCCGGGGATTCTGCACATTCCTCATTAGGGAAAAGCTCATTTTTAGCTCTGTATATAGTGCCTATCGTCGCAACCCTCTTTCTGAGATATGTTCAGATGTGATTTAAGAAATCACGTTTTAGTTACCGCTCAAGCCTACCAACAGAGATCCTGAACTCTGAACATATTTTCATTTGATAAATGTCAGTTGGAGCTGCTAATCCTCTCCGGCTAAAGTGAGTGCCCAGATGCTTCTGCTGTTGGTGTGTTCCTGCCGACGGTCACTATGTTCTGGGATCTGCCCTTCATAATTCACAGATGGCGGTATAGTGAATTTTTGGTGAAGCAAAAAAATCTATGTCATTGTTAAAATATTTAATGTAATGCCATTTTTTTCTAAGAAATGACAGTATGCTGCTCCACAGCACAGAATAAGCCGCCTCTTCAGCTCCGACAGCGTTATTGATACGGAAACGACTTCCTTTTCATGACTCCTTATCAGCTGGTATGCCTCCAGACTTCTGCACTCTCATCTCTCACCTGACAGAAGATTAGCATCTTCCAGATCTTGCAGCCTCGCCGGTAAGCAGTCAGCTTCTTGTCTATCTCCTCTGTGGAGAGAGAAAGCGAGAGGGATAGAATCACACCTGTACACAGTAGCCATAATTGGAGGTGTGCTATGCATTATGGGAAAATGAGTCCAACTGAGGAGCAACATTCCAGCAACACAGTTTTCATCTTTGTTAGTACAAGAGATATAATATTTATGGATCCACCATGCACAAATTATGAAATTATACCCTACAGGGGTGTGTACAGGGGTGGGGCCACAGGGGCACTGGCCCTAGCTGAAAGCTGACTGGCCTATGGAGTGCTCCCTGTCGGCCCTGTTCTCTTGATGTACACAAAACTTGCAAAATCAAGACACAGAAAAAGTCTTGTGTGGCTGTACTCACCCAGAATGTCATCGAACGTGGCATGCTCATGGTCCTAAAGAGAAAAGGGTAGGTGAGTCCGCTAATTTGCTGCTGTTCTCAGAAACTGATCCAGACTTAGGAGTGGGTGTGGGGGGGGGGGGGCTAAGCAGATACTCACGTAGAGGATGGGGATGATGGATGAGTCACCCCGCCGGATGATGTTTGGGATGTACTCTGCCTTTGGGACCTTGGAGGAGATCAGCTAAGGATGGGAGAGAGAGCGAGAGCAGGTTCACCATCAAGCCATCCATGGACTATGACTGGAAAGCGCAATGCGGACACCCACAGCCACGCCATTGGTGCTGACGCGTCGTCAGTATAGCCCTGTCACTGTCACTGTCACAGCTCAGGTGCCAACTGCATGTCTAGGAGAGGCATTGAATTGAGACAGTACACGCTACGCGAAGGTGCTTTAAGAAGTAAGATGTTTATGCTGTCGGAGTGTGCTATCCTTACGTTACGATGTTATGTTATGTTGGAGCTATATGGGCCAGCAGAAGGTCCCTCACAGCTGGTCACCCCGATGGGCCAGCAGAAGGTCCCTCACAGCTGCTTGCACTAGAGTACAGGAGTGCTTCCTCACCATTATTTTTGGGGGGATGAAGTCATCTCCCTGGCAGTCTGCCCTCTCCACCTCCCTCTCCTGCTCCCAGTCCAGGTCTTCACAGATCTCTTCGTTCAAAGCCCCTGAGGAAGACTGCAGGTCCCCGCCTTGGGGGGGGGGGGGGGGCAAAATCATGGATTAAGGGAATAGAAAGGTGAAGGGCACTCTTCTACAGAAAGGGAGGGGAAGGGGGAGAGATTCAGGGAGGTGCTGTGAGCCATGATTGACCGAGCGGGCAGTGGGCACAGGGTCCAGGATGGGTGGCACACGGTACTGAGGGGATAGGATGAAGATGAAGCGGCGTACCAGAAATGGGACAGACACGCAAACACAGACACACAACCATGAACACGTGAATACGGACATGCAAACGTGGACACACAAACACGGACACGTAAATAAAGGCATGACTAAAAAGCATGATGTATCCATCCCAAGAGAATGTCCTGCTGAGATAATGATTCAGTCTCGCAATGGACCAACACAGAAATGCTGCATTTAGCTGCTGCAGTCGGGCTGAGCGACACAAAATTGTGCTAAAGAGTGAAATTTAATTTCAATTTTTATGACATCTGCTCCCGCACTTTCCACAGAATGGACTGTGCATGTATCATGTGACTGCAGGTGAGCCGTGAAGGTGATGTCACTGTGATGTCACTGTGTGCGTCCCTGCATGTGTGCGTGCCTGACTGTGTGCTGCGTGCGTGTGGACTCACTGTCTCTGGAGTCGTGCAGAGAGTCGGGCTTGATGGGGGTGGGGTCACTCCAGGAGCGGCTGAAGCTCTTCGCTCTGCGGTCGGTGAATGCTGGCAGAGGAGTCGGGGGTGGGGGTGGGGGTGAGTGAAGAGAGCGTCACACAGGGCTCCTTCCACACGATCACGCACACGTTTGTCTGCTCCCCCCTCCCGGACAGGGTCGCACCTCCTCGTTCCCCTGGCCTTGGCCTTGGTTGCCCTGACAAAGCGGGTGGGTGGGGCTCTGACACCTTTATCCAGAGGCCTCCTCATCAAACATATGCCACACCCACCAGTGACATCACAGCACCTGTATTTACACACTGCCCACTACAAGAAACCGGACAACAGCACAGACAAGGCGGCAACACCTAATCTCCTAATATTTTAGTTCCCGTTACTTTTTTGGGACTAATGCCAGGGAAAATGAGCGAAGACTAAGGCCATTAACATAGTAAACGGAGCGTAATCGTTTCAGGTGGCTGGCTTGTTGACTCGTTGGATCATTTCCTTGTGCTTGTACATTGATACGTGTGAACACGCTGACAGATGTGCGCATGCACACGGCAAACACATCACAGGCATGTCGATGGAGGTGAACACAGTGGAGCGGGCACTTTGAGAGCCTCTCGCGCCGAGTGACTCACTCTGAACTTTCATCCTCCGGCTGCCCACCATCCTCAGGTGCTTCCGGAAGTTTCTGAGGGGGACGGGGAGACAGTTAGAGGGACAGAAAACTAAAAGGAGTGGCATGCACAGATGTAACAAGCTGTGACCCAGAATCCTCTGACCATGGCTCAGCATTTACGGGTGTGGTTCTGCATGCTAAAGATGAGCATTTGAAGTTACACAGCACAATGTTCTTCTTTTCCAGCCTGATGTTTCCTCCACAGCTGTTACATTTTTTCCCAAAATACTGCTTTTCAGATAAAGGGGAACTTTATTATCAAAACAAACATCAAGCAGACAAAACTAAAAAGACCACAAGAAATTGAAACAAAGGCAGGTAAACAACACTAGAACTAACTGGGACTGAAACAGAAGAGCAGGGTAACACAGACCTAACAAACACTGAAAACAGGCAAACACACTTCAGCGCCTTTGTAAGCTGGCAGACGAACAGGGAACGGGCAGACAGATATATGCACACAAGTAACAAGAGCTAGACAAGGAACAGGTGAGGGTCACTGACAATGAACCAAACACTTGGTAGTCGAACACTAGGAAATATTACTCATACTATAAAGCTAGATACACACAGAGATAACCAAGAATAAAAGTACAAAAAATTCAGAAATTCATGAAGATGGTAAATGTGCTTCTGGCCAGCCTGAAAACCAGAATGATTAGGAACCTCCTCGGCCCAATCAGCCATGCAGCAGCCCATGGATTAAGGGAACACAAGGAACTGTGAAGGGTGCTAAACATACGGAAACAGAGAAAAGGACATGATGGCCAGCGACACCTGCTGGCCAAACAGGGAAAGTACGGACAAGACAGGGTCTGATCGTGACAGGGCCACAGTGGATTCCAAAGCAGACGTGTGAGCTCGGATCAGAAGGATCATCCTCAGCTGGTTGTTTTATGAATGTAAAGCTCCAAAGCTGTGTTCCCTCTCAGTCACTGTCGTGCTTCTGTCTGAGTGCACTCACACAGACCTCCTCACTGGCAAAGCCCTTTTGTTCTGCAGCAGGGGTGATTTTTGTAGACCTTGAGGGACTGGTTGGCACTGCACACTTTACAGACACACGCAGTGCCTCCCCCGCCTCGGTGGCGCTGTGCTCCCGGCTGCCACACACACACACACAAACACACACATGTAGGGTAAACATATCCTTATGGGGACCGCTCAATCATTTCAATGGGAAAAATGCTAACGCTAACTATGACAACCTTAACCCCTACCCTGCCCTAACCATAAATAACCTAACAAAATACAAGAGTTTTAGTTTTTTCATAGCAGTCACCAGGAAACCGGTCCCCATAAGGGAAAAAAAACGGATATTTATCATGTTATGTGGACATTATGTCCCCATAAGGATAGGTAAACCCGCTCACACACACACACACAAACACCCCAGACCCCGGCTTCCTGAGGTTACACCATCACTGCACACCTTTCTATCTGCCATCTTGCCTTTTACAGGTATTCATGCATCTCTGCGTGTGGGTAGTTCAGCCCCTCCCCTTTTCAGACAGCAGCACCTGTTTCCTAATTCCCCCCACCCCCCCAAAGTCAGATGATTTTATGGCGGTTATAGGGCGGGAGGGCGGTGTTCAGAGGTAGAAGGATCCTCCTGCTTCATCCGAAAGGGCAGCCAGCCCCAGTAGATCACAGTGGGAATCAGAAACAGGCGAGAGGCACAAAAGGATGAAATAACTAGTGATTCCTCTTTACCGTTTGTTGTTTCTACTGCACACCAGACGAGGCTGTTGGTGCAGATGGCAGCTCACATCGTGTTCCTCTTATAAATACTACATTTTTATAAGCTTTTCATTACGGCAAAAACAGAAACTCATTCCACATTGAACTAGAAGCACTAATTATACAAGGCAAATGTGTGCCTCAGCAGCGAGGATGCTGTTTTTGTCATCGGAAGGTCACTGGTTCAAATCCCAGGGTTAGATGAGTGATGTCACTGTTGGGCCCCTAAGCCCCAGGGTTCCAGGGACTGGCTGACCCTACTTTGGTTGTATGTCACTTTGGATAAAAGTGCCAGCTAAAAAAAGAAACATTTTCTAATAAAACCGATGTAGTTCTATGCTGGTTTAGGAAGCGATACAACAGCTGAGATATTAGAAACAGCTCACTGGAGAATGTTTCTCCGTTCTAAATATTATTTTATGTTTTTCAGGACATTAAAGGCACAGTGCAAAGGCATTTAAAGGGGACACCATAACTAGAGACGCCTTGGTTGGTGCCATGTATGATCTAGGATTAATTATGCTGTATACACTCATCCACTTAAAGTAATAGTTACCCAGCATAGGCATGGTGTCTGTCCTCCTGCACTCCTGTATTTATTTTGGTTAATTTGGGTCATAGTCTATGAATACAGTCTGTGAATGCTTCTCTGTAGTCTGTGAATGCAGTCTGTAAATGCTTCTCTGCAGTCTGTGAATGCAGTCTGTAAATGCTTCTCTGCAGTCTGTGAATGCTTCTCTGCAGTCTGTAAATGCTTCTCTGCAGTTTGTGAAAGCAGTCTGCAAATGCTTCTTTGCAGTTTGTAAATGCAGTGTGTGAATGCTTCTTTGCAGTCTGTGAATGCCTCTCTGCACTTTGTGAATGGTTTTGTATCACATTTGTGTGCCTGCAGCACTCCTCGCTTGGAAGGATACAACATACAGAGCAGTGAGCACAGTCATGACTTGAGCATCCAGCAGTTATGGCAATACTGATTTCCCTGAGGACTTTCGGTCTGTACCTGCATAGAAGTCGTGAGTATTTGTCGTTTCTGTACCCAGGGTAGCCTTCCCCTGCCTGTCCCCACAAAGTCATACATCTGCCTTGAACAAGTAACGAGGCCAGCTAAATATCCCGCAGTTGAAACCTACAACATTCCTTCAGGTACCAGTCTATCTCTAGCGGTGTATCTGTCTCCAGGGCAACAGTCTACCTGTCTCCGGGGCAACCAGGCACAGACGTCCACTTCCCTACCGGTCCAGTCCTGAAGGATGCAGCCACACATCCAAGCGGGGGCTAAGTGGCGGAGCCCAGGCCTGGTGACTTCACACAGCACCGGGGCATCGAGCTACGCACATCGGCCGCTGATTTATTGGCCGTGAGGCTTGCTTATTAAGGCAGTAACACGCCGCCATAAAGTGCGACTCGATGATTGATGTGCAGCACTCTCCAGTAGCCTGCTTGTCAAATAATGCTGGAGATTGATTTACGCCACAATCCACCCTTAAGGAGTCACCCGAGATTCTCAAGCCCCCAGCGTGGGGTGCAGACGCCTTGGCTGTGACTGCGTGAAATGTCAGGGGTGAGGGTTCTAACAGGACACACTGCCTTTCTGTGCATGCCGTCGCCAACCACTCTCTGTCTCTCCTCTTTTGGTCAGTGACACCAGGATGCCCTGCTAGGGGTTGTTACTTTGTTAATGGTGGTGGGGGGGGGGGGGGTTGCTGGGGGGTGGAGCTGAGGATGACATTAGAGGCCCTGAGTGGATGGGACACATCAGAGGACAGGCGTGAGTATGAGTGTGAGCATGAGAGTGAGTGTGACCCTGCATGTCAGCGTGTGACTGAGTGAGTGTGTGAATATGCATGTGACTGTGAATGTGTGTGTGAGCATGAGTGCTGAACCAAAGACAGACCACATGCAGCTCAGATCACCCTCCTGTTTGGTGCTTAAGCTGAAGGTCCCATTAAACCAGTTTATGCTGCTGGGTGACAGAATAGGTCAGATTACACCCTGGGTCTTGAACCCACAACCTTCACCTGTCACATTAATTAATTTATCTGGGATAAACAGTTAATAAGACATGCATGGAGACTGTGAATCAACACTGATTCAAGTATCATGTCTAACACAGGAAGGATTCCCATCCACTTATTAAACAGCCTCTTTAAGCAGTTGTCTAGAAAAATCCATAACTGGGTTAGTATGATACAACTGACTCTGCTGCTGGTCCAACAGTTATGGAGTAACTACGGCCCTCAGTAACTTCAAACACTCATCTTATGCTGCGGGGGTGGGGTGTTGCTGATGGGAGGAAGGAAGGATGCAGCAAGGGTTTATGGGTATCTGCAGTATTTGTGAAATGATAAAAAGTGGTACTTACGATATCCTTAGGGGCAGCAGCAGGAGAGAAGCAGAAAGAGAACACAAGTCAGGCATCTCAGAGAGGAAACAGCCATCTCTGACTGGCTAAAGTGAAGATGTCCACATGAGGAGAGAATGGGGCAGGAAGTGGTTATGGGTGAACAGAGGTTCATGGCCACATGGGGCAGGGGCGTGGTTATGGGTGTACAGGGGGCATTGTCATATAGGCAAGAGCGTGACTATGGTTAAGCAGGGGGCATAGTCACATTGGATGGGGGAGTGGTTACAAGAGGGCAGGGGGTGGGCAGTGCCACACAGACACATCATGTGCCCACCCTTACAGACCAAATATGGCAATGCCCGTGGAATGGGGAGGGAGGGCAGGCACGAGGAAGGCCGGGACAAAAAGGGATGAGTGATGAAGAAGCGAGTTTGAGGGACATGAGGTGAACTCCAGACCGAGGGGTGCTGTCAAAGGCAGAAAGCGAGATCCTCAGGGGGCTAGGGTGTGCAGGAGTGTAATGAAGGCTTTCAGGAGAAGGTGATAATTAAGCAGTCAGCAGTGTGTGAGGAGAAAAATGGGCCTGCCATCGGTATGCAAATGCCTTGGGGGCACTGCCTGCTTGCCCCTAGGGGGCAGCACGGCAGTTATCCTCCTGCTACCTCTCTACTCCAATGGACACTTCCGCCCTCTGCTTTGGAAAAAGCAGGAAGTGTCATAAAAAAAACCCAAAAGAATGTGACACTTGACCAGGGAGCAGCACAGCTTGGTGAGAGTACAAGATCTGGCCCGCTGTGGTCCAGGACTCACGCCTGCATGGTGGTGGTCGCCGTCTGGAAGTTGAACATGTTCTCCTTGGGGAACCAGCTGTTCACTGTGTCCTCTGGAGACAGGGAAGAGAAAAGTGAGACGCCACCCTGAGGAGAAAAGATCAAATCTGCCACCAAGACGGAGGAGTAGCAGTAAGGAGCACATGGCCATGTTCCCCTGTCCTCGGCGGACATGAGGTCCACGCTGTACATCCTCCCCAGCTGATGGCACTACCTGCCCCGCCAAAGGCCCCCCCACCCACCTCTGTCCTCGGCGGACACGCGGTCCTCGCTGTACATCCTCTCCAGCTTGCGGCGCTGCCGGCCCCCATCTCGTGGGCAGCTGTCCAAGTCCAACGAGCGCTGGCTGTGGGATGGCGGGCGGCAGCAGGCCTCGCAGTCAGGGCTCTGCTCCTCCCGGGACCCCGCCCTGCGGACTGCCCACTCACGGATGTTGTGGTCGCTCCCCGAGCTCTGCAGGGGCTGCGATGGCTGGTTGCCGTGGTGATGGTGGTGGCTGCGGTGATGGGTGGGCCGGTTGTGGGTGGGTCGATGGTGGCCACGCCCCTGCTGGAGGGCAGCGTTAGCCAGAGCTGGGGTTTGGCTTGAAGGGGGCCCCGCCTCTTGGCTCCCCTTCAGTACTTCCAGCTCCAGGCTCTCCTCACTGCCTCGATCTCCCAACATGCCTCCTTCGCCAGTGATGGTGTATACACGGGGCGACTGGACAGTGCCCTCGGGCCGCTTCTCTTGCTGCTCCTCGATGGAGAAGCTTCGATCTAGTGGTAGGGGGCGCCGCAGGGACGCGTTCAGTTGCGAGTTGCCTGGCTGCTCCTCTTTCTCTGGGCTGGGCTGCACTACCTGGGAGGGGCGCGGCTGAGGGTGGAGACTGTTGCCGTGGGGACAGGCCGCGTCAGGCGATTCCGAGTCTTGGACCACTAAAGTGTCGGACAGCAGGTGGTCTGGAAATGGGAGAAGATTGCAGATCTTTAGAGATGAAAGCGAGACTGAGGTCTTAGATGAAAGAGGAGATTAGGGAGGGTCAGGGGCAGATAACGAGGGCTAATAGTCACAGAGTGGAGGTGGAGGGGAAGGAGGGATTGGAGGAGAGACTAAGGGAGGGGGATCGGCAGTCTGACCTGATCCGTTGTGGTTCTCTGGGTTGCTGTGAGAGAGGTACTCTCCAAATGCTCTGGCTGCTCTAAGGGGGATAGAGAGAACATTTTCATCAGAAGGCCGGCTCACTGATCTTGCGCCCCATTACACTTGTCCTCAAACCCACATCTCAGTAAACATTGCCTCATTTAGTGGAGCACCACGTTCTGTCTTCATTGGATTTCCTGGGCACCCTTATCCCTAATACGCCTATCAGTGAACCCCCCATTTCATTTTGGGATACCACTAATCTCATTCTTTCTTTCTTTCTTTCTTTCTTTCTTTCTTTCTTTCTTTCTTTCTTTCTTTCTTTCTTTCTTTCTTTCTATCTATCTATCTATCTATCTATCTATCTATCTATCTATCTGTGTCTATCTGTTTCTATCTATCTATCTATCTATGACATGTAGGACTAAATAAAGGAACAAACAAGTTAAAATGGATAGAGAGCAGCCTGCTAAGCCGATCCCTTCCAGCGCAGTGAGAGTCCCCTGTGGCAGTAGCAGTGAGAGTCCCCTGTGGCAGTAGCAGTGGCAGTGAGAGTCCCCTGTGACAGTGGCAGTGACAGCACTGGGCTGTTTGCGAGCTCCTGGAAATATTACCACCATTTACTGCTATGCCAGGGGGCTTGGGGGTGCCCATGGGGGCATGCAGGAATCACAGAGCCGCTCCATATAGCTAAAGGCAAACTGAGAATCACAGGCAGATGCTTTCCAAAAATTTCCATTATTGTGGATTTCATTAAATGTATTTAGCTGACATTGTTATTTATCCAAAGCGGCATATAACTGAAAGCTGGATCGAACAATCCCTCAAGCAACTTGAGGGTTTAAGGGCCGCACTCAAGGGCCAACGGTAAAATCACTGTGTGGATTTGATACAGGAACCTTTCAATGACAGGCACAGTGTCCTAACGTAAAGTTTTTAGACTTTTTGTTAAACTCCAAGCAATGTTCTCACTGTAAATACTCTGTCAGAACTATTTGAAGAATAATGAAGATGAAAGAAAGTTGAAAGTGACGACCTGGTCAACTGACATGAACCTCATGGAGGTGATCTGGGATGAAAGGAAAAGAAAGGTACAGCTACACATGGACCGAACGGTCAAGACTACACATGGACAGAAAGGTCAAGACTATACGTGGAGAGAAAGGTCAAGACTATACATGGAGAGAAAGGTCAAGACTATACATGGAGAGAAAGGTCAAGGCTACATATTGATTGAAAGATCCAGCTACACACGGACAGAACGGTCAAGACTACACATGGACAGAAAGGTCAAGACTATACATGGACAGAAAGGCAAGGCTACACATTGACAGAAAGATCCAGCTACACATGGATAGAACGGTGAAGACTATACATGGGCAGAAACGTCAAAGCTACACATGGACAGAAAGGTCAAAACTACACATGGACAGAAAGGTCAAGACTATACATGGGCAGAAAGGTCAAAGCTACACATGGACAGAAAGATCAAGACTATACATGGACAGAAAGGTCAAGGCTACACATGGACAGAAAGGTCAAGACTACACATGGACAGAACAGTCAACACTACACGTGGACAGAAAGGTCAAGACTACATGTGGACAGAAAGGTCAAGACTACACGTGGCCAGAAAGGTCAAGGCTACACAGTCAGCCATGCAGATCATTAGTCGGGACTTTAACAGCAACTTTCAGAAAAAATTCCTTGATACTTCAATACTTGTAGTGCCTCGGGTTTGTTCAGCTGTAGTGTAAAAGGTGGCAATTCCCAGTCTATTTAAGCTAACTATTCAGCCTGTTTTCATTATATAGACAGAGGCTCATTTATTTAATATTTTTCTGCAATTAACTTCAATTCTGTACATTTTTTTCTTTTGTATGTGGCACTGATAGAGCTTAAACTAAACATTAAAAGAAACTTTGATTGGCGGTGTTTTAATTTACAGTTACAAAAATAATGTTTTTTATAAGGCTTTATTTTCCCTTTGCACAAGGACATGCAGAGGTGCATTGGAATTCTTTCATTTTCACATATCCCATCATGCTCCAGTGTCTGCCATCCAGAGCCAGTTTCCTGTCACCCCTCACTGCCCTCCCCCCCGGTTTCCAAGCCCCCCTGTCTTAGAAAATCCATTAGTTCTGAGCTTTGGCAAACAAGTGACATACCATAATGACCATAATGGCAGTAATCAGAACTGCACTGTACCTTTGTGGGGTGACCCACCAGGACCTGGATCCTAAGAAACAGAGAGACCAGTCTCCCATTTACCGGGAAACATGGTACAACAAGGAGAAAATTACTTGAGAATGGGTTTGCCAGTCGCACTCCCATCTGCCTCTGTGGTTGTGAGTGAAATCGACAGTATTGAGCAGGGGAGCCTGCAGCTGCCTGTGATCTGGCCAAGGAACAAGCCAAAGGTCAGGTGACCACTAAGATATCAGAGTAGGTCAAACATCAAGTGACAGGAAGTGGTCGAAGGAAGCCATAGGTCAAGTCACAGGAAGAGGTCCAAGTAGGGCAAAGGTCAGGTGAAAGGACGAGGTCAAAGTAGGGTAAAGGTCAGGTGGTAGGAAGAGGTCAGAGACTTAGAGGGGTTCAAGCAGGCCAATGGTTCAATGAAAGATTTGTCCAAGTATGTCGGATGTCCAGCGACTGAGAATGATCCAAGTGGGCCAAAGGTCTGCTGAGTGAGGGTGGGCCAGAGGTATGGAGGCAGAAAATGGGTCATTTAGGCCACTGGTATCAGGACTAAGAATGGGCCAAGTGGGCCCAAGGCCCAGTGACTGAAAGCAGCCCATTAACTGAAGGTCTACAGGAAATGAACTGAGCAGGACACAGGTCTGACAGCGTATGGGCAGAGCAGGCCAAAGGCAGACAGGAAGGCTGGAGAGGAGCATTACTCGTACAAGGCTGCTGGTGATGTCAGGTTTGGCCACCTGACAGCACCTACGGAGAGCTTTCAGAGGAAAGTCCAACAGACTTATGGGAGATATCTGCCAGCTTTTTTTTCCAGTGTAACTACATACTGAGCTAACACAAATTGTTAAACCGTGCATATTCCTATCAGCAATATCGAATCAAACCAGTGGCTTGGAAATTGAAATCTACCATTACAGCCTGGACAAATTAAAGGGTTCAGATTGTGAAATTGTAATGCTGATTGATCTTTTATTCCCTGAGAGGGTGTGCTGGGGGGGGGGGGGGGGCTCTGTACAGTTCTGACTGTCCCGTGCTCCCATCTGATTGCCCCGTTCTCTCAGATGCTTGCCCCGTGCTCTCAGCTGATTGCCCCGTACTCTCAGCTGACTGCCCCGTGCTCCCAGCTGATAGCCCCGTGCTATCAGCTGACTGCCCCGTGCTTCCAGCTGATAGCCCCGTGCCCCCAACTGATTGCCCCATGCTCCCAGCTGATTGCCCCGTGCTCCCATCTGATTGCCCCGTGCTCTCAGCTGACTGCCCCGTGCTCCCAGCTGATAGCCCCGTGCCCCCAACTGATTGCCCCATGCTCCCAGCTGATTGCCCCGTGCTCCCAGCTGATTGCCCCGTGCTCTCAGCTGACTGCCCCATGCCCCCAACTGATTGCCCCATACTCTCAGCTGATTGCCCCCTGCCCCCAGCTGATTGCCCCTTGCTTCCACCTGACTGCCCCGTGCTCTTGGGCTGACTGCCCTGTGGTGCTCTGATCCCTGGGGAAAGACACTCCACATGTCCTCATGTGGGACCTGCCCTGCCAGCCTTCATCCATCTCCTACTATGTCTACTACGCATCACTGCGTTGGTCATCATGCTTGAGGCTTCTTCTAAGAAGAAGATCCAGGCTTGAGGGAGTAAGGTCCCGTTTGGAGAAGGGCCAGGGCAAGCACTGCAGGGGCATGATGGGGGGCGAGGGGAGGGGGTGTCAGTGTGGTGCAGTTAGGGAAGTCGAATTCCACACCCGGCAATTGCAGTTGATGGAGAGGTCATGTCTGTCGCCTGCTGAGGTCGTAATTCCACAATGAATGGCTCTTTCTGATTGTTTCAACCTGTCCCCTGATGACCATTCAAGAGACCATTGGCTGACAGGTGGAGATCCTGGAAGCAGGCCGAGCCCTGACCCTAAAAGCAAAAGCTGCCACCATACCTGAGACTCAGGGCATGTGCATAGATGACCCAGAGTAGCAATTTGCTCTTATTATATAAATGAATTAGTTAGCTCATTATATCTTTGGTAGGGAGCTTGGCAGGTTTTCTGTGGATGTGTACCCTGTTTTCCCGGCCGTTAGGTTAGGGTGACCTGCTTTTCCGTCGTCTTTTAGAATTCAGGCGCTGCTCCAGCTCCACTTTGGTGTGGATGACGCAGGTCTACAGGGGGCCTCGCTGTGAGTGTGGGGGTGGGGTGGAGCCGGCCCTCCGGGGCACATTTATGAAAAGCAAACCAACACACAGGTTTGAGAGTCAGACAGTGCCTGGAGCAGTTAGGGTCTAAGGGCCTTTTTCAGGGGCCCAACGGTGACATCACTCTGCTGACTCTGGGATTTGAGCCGGCAACCTTCCGATCACAGGTGCCCTGCCTCCCCGTGCCTCAGAGTGAAATGGCCATGCAGATGTAATGGGCTGTACTCGCCAGAGTCAGCATTCCCCCAGTTGTCCTAGGAAGATGCACGCGTTTCGAGGTGTAGCTCACACCTGCCCACGCAGCCCAGCCGTGCAGATGCATGCGTGACCGTCGGTTGGGTGCTGGGGGCGCGCGGGGGCTGAAGGTGTCATTAGCAGAATGCCATCAGCACACCACAAAGACTTTCGTGATTAAGTGTGTTCGCTAATCATGTGCAACTTTGGAAGTCGGCTGGAAGTTGGGCGTAGGCCAAAAACCCCTCACACCGCCCGGGGTGGGGGGGGGGGGCGCAACTCTAGCATCACTAAGGAAGATCATCATGGCTGAAGCACAGAAAAACACAGAAAACACACAGGTCCTCTCTGAAAGACCCTGGAACCCCCCTGGCACCCGACCTTCCCTGGCCTCCTCCCCCAACACTCCCCCTGGCACCTCCCCCCCTAGCACCCCCCTCTGGCACC